TTCCTATATAGACCATTGTGGCATAGGTAACAGGGCATCAAACATTTTTTTAAGGGGGGGCAATTTTTTATATAATTGATAATTCCAATTTCAATCCAAAAAATTCAGAAAAATCGGAACTGAAATCAGATTTTTTTATTTATATAATTCCAATTGCAATTCGAAAATCGAAATTTTGGAAATCAAAATGACAGTAACAAAATTATTTCTGACCTCATAATATTTTGGGCAAATTACGGTCACCCCCTGAGGTAAAACAATGCATAGTTGACGTGGTGGCTGTAATTATGCAAACAAGAAGGGTTTTTTTTATTTTATAATTTGACCTTACCTCACGAGTGGCTGTAATTTGCCCTAATAGCTTTAAGCAATAAATGAAATATCAAACAAATGGTTAAATAAAAGGGGTTATTTGATATAAGCCCGAGTACTTCTTTTAATAGGAAGAGGTTCAAACTATTTTGCACCATTTGAGAAAAGTTCACTCGATTTAAGATGTTTTATGATTTGCATGTTTAGTTCGTGGCGTCGTCGATCTAAATTATTTGTTGTTATTTACCGATCAAATTTAGGGTTTTCTGAAACTATTAAAATGATGATTTTCGTGTTTTTATGCGTATGTACTTAGATTTTAAGATCTTAGTAACCGAATTTGGTAAGTACTTTCGGATTTGTATTTACTGAATGTGAATTATATATCGTATCTAACGATCAAGTGCTATAGTTTTTTATGATAGATGTGTAATGTGTGTTTTTAGGAACTTATGAAACCCTAAAAAAAATTGATTTGATGCATCTCTTCGGGAGCCGATATGAGATCATTATTGGGAAGGAAAGAATGAAAGAATAAGAATTTATTTTTAAGCCCGGGATCTTGTTTGAATATACTTATTTGGATTTTCCGGTGAATGCATGTAAACACCGAACATTTATATTTATCATTATCATTAAATGTAGATAGATTTTTGTCGTTTTATCGCACTTACAATCACAAATTTGTAACTATCCACATACATGTTTTTTTTTTAATTCGATTTCCTTGTCTTTAATTACCTGAACGCTTTCTTATGAATGAAGTTTACGAAATCTCAGTCTTTGTTTCTTTTTTGGACAAACATACGGTATTGCGACAAAGTTAATAAAGTCTCTCTTCTATTTAATTTATTATTGACCAACCGATTAAGTTTTGGTAGAGGAGAGTCTCAAGCAATATTCTTGAGAGCGGCACAACAATGGCAATACCAACTTCCATGTGGCACAGTGGCATGGGGCAGACTCAAGCACTATGAGTGATACTCTGCATCCTACACTCGGCGTAAAGGATTACCCTCTTATTTAACAACTCTGCACACATTTCAGAACATAAACATATTCGAGATTCTTCTTTGAATCCGCATGTTTTGGAATAATGTCGCATGTTTGAATCCTTACATTTAAAAGAGGTACATATTTTTTATGTATCTATCACTTGAATATGTGCATATCTGAGTTTTTATAACCTAGTAAGGTTATTCTTGCTTTCACATAACCATTATTTGTTTGTTTTTTTTTTTTTTTTAATTATTTAGGTAGTTTGTCCACAGATTGTTGATGCTGCAATTCCCAAAGCACGGTGGGATGAAGGGTTACGTTGATGGACAAAATAAGAAGGTTTGTACTTTGCGACAAAAGTGATGCAGAGTATCACACATACTGGTTGTGTCTGCCGCCCGTTGCCAGTGTACCTCAAGGAAGTTGGCTTTGCCTTTGTTGTGCCGCTGACAAGAATATTGCTCGAGATTCTCCTTCTACCAAAACATTGGTTGGTCAAAAGCAAATTGAAGAAACGGAAGAGAGATTTCATCTCTTACATGTATGTAGTTCACTAAAGGTGGACATGTCTACATGTACATAATGTTTGATAATTTCAAGCATGATTGATTAATTTAATTATTTGTATTTCTTTTATTTTAATTAGTTCAATATTATTTTAACTCGGCTCATAATTATGGGGAAAAAAAAGAGGTTTTATCATCATATATAAAAATAACAAATAATAATAATAATAATAATACTAAAAATAATAATAATAATAATAAAAATATTGTGTATTATGAATTTATGATACCTTCTTTATATGTGTGGTTCAGCATTACTTTGTTTATATATATCTTATAAGTGAAGTACGTACTACGTACAATATCATATCAGGGTTTTGGTTTTTTATTTTCATCTCATTTTTATACTCGAATTTCTTGAAAAACACTTAATCTTAAGAAAAAATCCATTTCCAGCTGTTCTAATTATTTTCCGACTCTTGTTGTCGTAGAATCGAACGATGAGAACACGATAAAATTGCCATAGATTGTCTGATAATAATCTAGTTTGGCATACGTTATTATTCACCGAACTCATAAATTTACTGATATAGAAAAATATTCCTCTTACAATTTTAGCTATGAGTTTGTCTGCATATCAACATCGTTACTATAAAAATGTACGCATTCATGTTAAAGTATGAGCAAACTATAAATTATATATATTTGTAAAATACGAAAGTTTCACGTATTTAAACACATGTACAATCTTATCTTTCAAAAAGCTTACGTGTAATTTCATTGATATAACTTAGATGTAGAAAAGTTGCCCAATTAATTTTGGGGACGCACAAACATTTATCTAACTCGTCTGCAACTACAACTAAATTTTGATGCAAATCTTACATTCAAAACATCATAATTATTTTTTTGCCTTTGTTTCTTTACGATAAATCTTGTCTTCTAACACGTAAAGTAATCGTGTCTTCGGTATAGGGATGTTTGTAGAAGTTTCACTTTTTGATTATCTTATTTTAGCTAAATGAATAACAACCCTATATATCCAACAAAATTCAGCACAAAAGAAAAGGAAAAAAAAAAAAAAAGGAAAATTGAATTAAATAGAAATGACGAATATATATAGGAACCCTATCCAACAAAATTCAGCACAAAAGAAAAGGAAAAAAAAAAGGAAAATTGAATTAAATAGAAATGACGAATATATATAGGACATTTGTCGCATCTCTCATTTAAGTACTATTTATAGAATAAAATGAGTGGACGAAGTAAATTCATCTAACACAAAGATCCGAGCCCAATGGGCTTATTGTATTCAGGTGGCTACCCTAACTGAAACCCTAGATATTATATCCGCCTCACTTTCCTAGGTTTAGTTGTCAGATAAATTTACTATAAAAAGGAGTGCAGCCGTGTCCGAATTCAAACATCAAATGAATGATTTGTCTCTGCTGATGTATCCATCTTCGTCCTTTGAAGATCATCGCCGCCCATCGCCTCCTCCCGAACCTCCGCCGCCACCATTTTCGTCTATCTTAAAGAAATGGAAGATGGTCTACAGGTAGTTTTCTTTTTTCATCTCTCATCTCTTTGATTTGTTTGTTTGCTGCTAAATCAAATCTAATTTGTTTGATTTTTAATTCCATATATAAATGCCAATGGATTTAAGATGTTTTATGATTTGCATGTTTGGTTTGTCGTGTTGTCGATCTAAATTATTTATTGCTATTTACCGATGAAAGTTAGGGTTTTCTGAAACTATTAAAATGATGATTTTCGTGTTTTTACGCGTACTTAGATTTTCATATCTTAATAACTGAATTTAGTAAGTACTTTCGGATTTGTATTTACTGACGATCAAGTGAATGTGCCCTTTAAGGAACTTATGAAACCCTAAAAGATTTTTTTCCAAATAAAGAATGTTTATTCGGATTTTCCAGTGAATGCATATAAACATCGAACATGTTTTTTTATCATTAAATGAAGATAGATTTGTCGTTTTATCGCACTACATTTTTTTTCTAAATTTACTGATTTTCTTGTCTTTAATTACGTGAACGTTTTCTTACGAATAAAGTTTACAAAATCTCAGTCTTTGTTTCTTTTTTGGACAGACATATGGTATCGCAACAAAGTTTATAAAGTCTCTCTTCAATTTAATTTATTCTGACCAACCGATGAAGTTTTGGTAGAGGAGAGTGTCGAGCAATATTCTTGCCAGCGGCACAACAATGACAATACCAACTTCCATGTGGCACAGTGGCAAGGGGCAGACTCAAGCAGTATGAGTGATACTTTGCATCATCGTACACTCTACGTAAGCGAGAACCCTCTTATTTTTCCTTTCCTGGTCAATACCACAAAATCTATGCACACTTTTGAGAACAAAAACATATTCGAGATCCTTCTTTGAATCCGCATGTTTTGGATAATGCCACACATTTGAATCCTTACATTTGAAAGATGTACGGATTTTCTATGTATCTATCACTTGAATCAGTGCATATCGGTGTTTTTTGAACCTCGTATGGTTACTCTTGCTTTACTCACAAAGCCCTTTTTATTTATTATTATCTAGGTTGATTGTCTACAGCAGAAATTCTAAAATCACTACCATGGTATTCTAAGAAGGATATTGATGATGCTACAATTCCCAAAGCACCATGGAATAAGAAGGTTCTACCTTGCGACAAAAGTGATGCAGAGTATCACACATACTGTTTGCGTCCGCCCGTTGCCAGTGTGCGTCAAGGAAGTTGGTTTTGCCCTTGTTGTGCCGTTGACAAGAATATTGATCGAGACTCTCCTTCTACGAAAACATCGATCGGTCAAGAGCAAAATAAACTGAAGAGAGATTTCATAAACTTTTGTATTAACTATTTTCTAGGAATTGTGCGAGCTGATAATTAATGGATCGTTCACTAAATGTCCGGATCTTACAGAGTGGTACATCTCGCTTTCAGATTTGTACCACCTAAAGTTACGGCACCATTCGTTGCCCTCGCCGTATTTCAGGCACCAATATACTGTCATCCATCATTTAGAAGTTATGGCAAACAGATTTTCATCATCTTTTTAATGCTTCTTTTGAATATGAAAACTTTTAATGAAGCATGTTTTAATACATTAGGGTTACAGTGATTATTGATTGCAAGTCAAATGTTGGCAAACGGAAAAACAAACGAATAGACAAAAAGGCACGAGGCAAATTTCACATTATAAACTCTTGATACAAACTTTCAAACCCAGTGCATAATATTACAATAGAATATTCCAATATTCCATTGAGATGCTTCCAAAACTATCAAGCATGAGTTTAACTAATCATACATCGGCTCCATATCGTGTTATCACGAGAGAGTAGTGTCTGCTTGAGCCCCTCTTGCAACCTTAATAAAGACATCCTCTAATGTCGTGTCTGCCAAACCCCACGCCTGAACGGTGAATCTACTCTTTGCATTCTCGACTGCTTCGAAAACATCTGCTATTCTTATCTCGTCTTTTGGCAACTCGAACTTTTGTGTACCTGAAATTTGGTATACCTTTGTTGCATTTGGTGAGAGTTGGTTTACCAAGTTCTCTACTTCTTCCTCGTGAGTCGGTGATGTTGTCATCGTGAATACATACGATCCTCCGTATCTAGCCTTGAGCTGTCATTTTGGATGGAAAATAGACGGTTGAGACGGAATACAAAATAGTTCGGACTATAGAATCGTAAATAAATAAGTTATATGATAAGGCAACAAAAACTGAAAGATGGTAAGAAATACGAGTTTCGATATATACAACGTAAAGATGACAACTCGTGAAATACAAAACGTGCATTGACGACCAACATTTTGGCATTACCTCTTTAGGGTTTCCGACACATTGCAAGCTTCCATCAACAAAAATTCCAAGACGGTCACATAAATGTTCTGCCTCTTCCATTGAATGCGCTGAATTATCAAATAAGATGCTCTGAAATTACTAACATAGTAATTTCTTAACTACAATGCAGTTAAATCTAAAGGTTTCCACGTGTCAAGAAGCGAAAGAGAGACAAAAACGTTACTGGTGAGAATTATAGCTCTATTTTGCTTAGCACGTTTCACAACGTCCCACAACATGTTTCTTGAAGCAGGATCTAATCCAGTACTCGGCTCATCCATATACACCACCTTCGAATAACCAATTTTCGAGTAGAATAAGGTAACAACTTTAACGAAACTAATAACTTAATGTCGAACTAAACACGAGTCGAAACTAAATATTAAGGATATGGATGTACGTACTTTTGGATCTCCGATAAGTGAAATGGCGACACTAAGTCTTCTTTTCATGCCTCCACTATATTTCCTCGATTGTTTGTCTGCCACCCCGCCGTGAAATAAGTTCACACTCTTAAGAGATTCTTCCACTGCCTGTTTCACAATATAAAAATGTAGATGAAGTTACGACGCTAAAAAAGATGCCAAATTGAATGGCCAATTCAATGCAACTCGTGCAATTGTGGCGCATTTAGCAAGACATCAAAACGTAACAATATACTGCACAATAAATTTGTATTATGCCTAGTTTGGTTGGCAGCAAGATTATCTATGTTAATCAAATAAATGAGCTTTATTTGATATTTAATTAGTCCTATAACTTTTCGGGCCAACACAAAAGTTTTTTGGAAAGATGAGCCTTTATCTAGTTTTATCAGGAAAATGTGCATAGTCCAAGTATACAATTGATCTCGAATAAAATTGCATAATAATATCTTGGCTAATCCTATCTAAGTAACTAAATGAGACTTTGTATGATAATCTCGTACAATTTAATTAGTGTACTCTCGATTCTATACAGTCTTACATGTGTTAGGGCAGCACCATTGAGATTTTTAAGCCGTCCATAGAAAAATAGGTGCTCTCTTCCCGTTAATGTATCCCACAGCAAGCTGCACATAGTATTGAAAAATATCAAAATTTACATGAATGGACTCATAAAATCATGAATTTAAAACTCCAAATCGGTTATGTTTTCGTAATGCATACTCATGCTGGGGACATACACCCATGCTGGTGTATATTTTATCCATATCAGTCCGTATATCTAATCCTTGAACATATGCAGTTCCCGAGCTCGGCTTTATGAGCCCAATCATCTAACAAAACAAAAATATGGATAATCAAAACGAACTAGAGCGGATAATGTGAAAAATGTTTTCCAATTAAAAGAACCAAGCCCGAGAACTAACCATGTTGATGAATGAAGTTTTGCCAGCACCATTAGGACCAAGCATGCCGAAACATTCTCCCTCCGGCAAAGCAAGTGAGAGCTCTCTTACTGCACATTTCTCGGGGTTTCCGTCCGTGCCTGGATATATCTTTTTGAGATTATTGCATATGATTGAATGACTTGTACTTGATACAAGTAGTAACTGCTCCACCTTCTCCCTCTAAATCAAATACGAAAAAGTGAAAGTGAGATAATACGGGGAGGTATACAAATAACAGATTAGAGAAAGTGAGCACAAAAATCATAACATTGTTTTATTTTCCATATTGAAAATGCACTCCGATATATCTAGCGACTAGCTGAGGCTTCTCCAATAAATCCAATAAATCAACCTCAGAAGAATCATCAGTAGTTGTAATAAACAATAGGTTACCTCTTGGTCAACATCAAACTTCTCCATCTGAACAAAAAGTTTAGAACCAAGCCTTCGCGGGCTAGGTTTGCGGAAAGATGATGAGAGGTTCTTTTGTTGCTTCCGCAAGAAAAACAGGGGACTTTTTCCAGATGACACAACTTGATCCGCGTAATATGCAACACAAAGAACAACTAACCATTCAATTGCAATGATAACCAATACCTCTCTCATGCCGTTATTGCTATCGTTTAAATCTTTCCATCGCATTCCATCACTTCCCATAAAATTTCCGGTAAAGGCGTACTGTGAGAACTCGTATAACCCACGATAAAGGGAAAACCCTGGAAATAACTCCATAGCAATTATACCTGCTTCTGCATTGATGAGATAAAATTACACAGAAAAAAGGTTAGCAATTAATGCATGCTACGGCCATGGAATCTGATTTTGTGTTAGTTAACTAAACGATGTCAATTATATGGTTTTACGTACTTGGGAAAGACGAATCTTGGAGAAAGAACTGAAAAAGGAAGCCACCCAAAAGCCCAGTTCCAAATACCATCATATACCCTACGACTGAGAATTTTACGCTTTTAGACGAAATGTCAATACAAAATTATAAAAGAAACTAGATAAAGTGTTACGCTGAGGACACACCTGTAGCAGTCTTCACCGACGAAAACCAATCAGCAACGAGAAAAGCCAAACAGATTTGCAAATTTATATAGAGGAAGTAAAACACAAAATGGATGCTGTAATCATTTAGTCTGAAGAAGTTTAACCCTGAAAACCAAATATATCAGTGATGAAGCAACTAGTACGGAACTGGAAAAACGATTATATAATTATGATCAATTCATTAGACGTAAAAGTTTACCGATGGCTGAGCCAAATACCACAAAGCATAGCATGTAGACTGAAGATATTGCTAGAAAATAAGCGTAAGATATCATCCAATAAGGTCCATCTCCGAGCCCGTGCATTTTCATCATAACCCTTAGTTTGTGCTCTTTCTCGTAAACCAAAGATATTAGAACAACCTGCAAGAAAAGAATTAAGGACTGTTATTGGAAGGCCTACAAAAATATCAAGGAAAATAAGAAAAACGACACTACCACTAACGACACTTACAGGAAACAGCTGGACAATAACCCATGTAAAGAAGAGTGGCCCAAGGAGAGAAGAGAAATCCAGCCTAAGATTCGTTTCGGGCTTTGGCATTTCTTTCACAAACTCGAAAAGCATTTTCGCAGATGGTCCAAGCAGAAATTGGAGATAGGCATTTGAAGCCTGTACATGCATACACTAAATTATACACTAAAGCCCCGTTTGGTTGCCAAGATAAACCATGATTAACTAAATAGTTGGACTTAATTTGATGTTTGGTATCCTCAATAAATTGCCGGTTCGACCCGCCAAGATTATGTAATCATCGCTTATCTTGCCTTATCTTGCCTTTTATGGTACTTTTTTTTGTTGGACGTCGGTAGGTTCAATAAAATAATTAGGTTTCATTAGATTATTTAATCTTATCTTGGCAACCAAACGAGGCCTAAAAATTAATACAGCTTACTAAGACATAGTTAATGATATATACTATAGAGTGAGAAATATGAGTGCGATAAGTGAAGGTCAGGATTTGGGTACCAAATTTATTGAACGAGGCACACGTATCAAGGCAGGAGGTTGATCCCCCGTGTCGTTCTTATACGTAGAATTATACCATATCGTAACATTGAATAGATTCTCATTTGAATTCGCAAAATCATAAGCTGCAAAACAAAGGGAACAATGAATTAAGCCGTTCACATAAAACTGGCAACTTTTTTTCTCGTAAACCAAAGATGTTAGTCCCAAACCTGCTAAAATCTCATTAATCTTTCTTCCCGAATTCCCATTACGGTAACCCTTGTATATCTCATCATTGATCTCGGCAGAACTATTGCGCCACAATTGTAAGCCTTGAGTGCAACGTACATCTGCATTTTATAAGAAGATCCAAGAGAAGTTGAAGGAACTTATTTCTTGCACCTCTATTATGCAAATTTGATTTTAAAATTTCAAACTGAAGGTCGTAAAAAGTAACTACACTACCAAATGTAACGACATTATGGAAAGAAGAATAATTTCAAAAAAACTAACTACCTTTTTGCAATGTAGCAGAACCTAACTGGATAGCAACAGAAAATTGAGAATCTGATGAGCATTGAGGTTGAAGAAGATCAATTGGAGCATTTGAAAGAAAAGCAGCATCAATAAAATTAGTATACCGAGACGTTGTTCCCGAACCCTGAAAAATTGTGAAATACATACCTAAATCATCACCATAAAGTAAACTACTAAAACCATACATAGTTTAAGCTACGAAATGTGTAGCATCATCACTATAAAAATATATAAAAATATATTAAGAAATAAAAAAATTGCCACTAACCAAGGCATTATCTGCTAAGCTTTGCAGAATATCCGAGGAATTTACATTTAATGGCCTCGAGAACATGTTTCCAGCCACAGCTATGAAGTCAAACGAGAAGCATTAGTTAAGCATTAAACTCTCCATAAACACTAGATATTGAATATGTTATAGCATAACTAATAGGACATACATTGACCAAATGTTTGATTATTTCCAGTAATAAGCATAGTTACAGGACAGGAACCCGTTTTCTTGCATCTATCTCCAGTTCTAACAGCACGAAATTGCTGAGCTGGCACTTGTAATAACAGAGGCCATTCTGTAGGATGAGGAATGGGACAAAAGAATACTTGGTCCAAACTTGAGTATTCGATCCCACACGTTTTTTCACATTGGCCCTTTCCTGTATCAACACAAATGCAGCCACACCTTAACGAGGGCTTATCTAATTGACTATTCACCGTTTTTTGGATGAGAACAAGCAACAAACAGATGAAAAGTGGGAATAGAATGAGTCGGATATTCATCTCCATGTTGCGTTTCTGCATCGAAAGAATATGAAACCGATGTTAAAACAAAATTCTGGTCGAATAAAAGCAAGTTAAATTTATAAACTTTAGATGATTGAGAGAGAGCACTTGGGGCTATGTTTTTTGCTGGTTCAAAAATTGACAGCATATTAGAAGCAAAGACAGTTGCAGGAATGAAAAATAAAATTTTTTGTGGGTCTACAACAAATTATTGGTGTGTTTTGCATCAAACAGCACAATTCAAAACCTAAAACCCAACAGAAATTACATAATTCTTCGATCAGAAAAAAGGCAACTGCATTCCCACTACAATACATCAAAATGTAAATATTGAATGCCCATCAAGTACTAAATTAAGACTATAACAAAGCTTGAATGGAAAAATTTGAATAATTTGAATTATAATCAATACCCATCAAACAAACCAGCAAAAAAATAAACAAAATCCGAAAATTAGTTTGAGGCAGAGAGAACTGAATAATCTACTCGCCTGAAAAAATCGGAATGTTCCTCACCGAAGCGTGGCCGGAGTACAGAAAATCGACGGCGAATTTGATGAATCCGCCATGGTGCCATGTATTGTACGGATTTTGCCCTTGGTTCCATTTTAGAAGATTACTTTGGTTTCTATTTCTTTTTGTTTTCTTTTTATACAATTTTCCATTTAACTTGGAATTACTTTGCTGCCCTTTCATTGTTAGAGCATCTCCAAGAGTCCAATGCAAACTCATATTTTACACAATATGAATAATCAAAAGCAAAAAAATGAGCTCCAAGAGGAAAATGCATTAGTAATAGATTGGCCAAATTGTAACTTTGGCTTCTCAAATTTGAGAAACCAAAACTACAATTTAGCAAATGTATGAAATATTAAAATAATATTATATTGCACTTTATAATATATTTAGCACTAAAAAATATTTTATATTGTCTTACTTGTTTTTTTGCAAATAAATGTACTAAAGATGAAATTTAATTACTATTTTACTTAGTATAAATAATAACTAAAATTAAAAAAAATATATCATTTTAATTACAATAAAAAAATATTTCATAAAGAATTATAAAATTTTAATGTTTATTAATATATATCAATTAAGTTATTGAAAGTTATTTTATCAAATTTAAAATTAATTTTGTGTACTTATGAATTAGTATTATAAGTTATTAGTATATTAACCAAAATAAAAGTTAAATAAATTTGTAAAACAAAAATCATTAAAGATTCAACATATAAATATATTTTTTTAGAATAATACACATTATTATTAATATTTATAATAATTGAATATCATGCAAAAACTAATTAATAAAAAATAATTAAATAAAATAATTGTGTAAAATATAAACAATGTTGTTGGAGTGCAGTGTTAAAAGTGGAGTGCTAAAACACTGTTCGTTGGTTATATTATAGATATAGACAACCGTTTTTAGACAAACTGTTGGAGATGGCCTTAGAGCATCTCCAACCATGTGGTGTTTGGACTTTGGAGTGCTAAATGCTACTCCCTCCTTCCCTTAATATTTGTCACTTTTGCCATTTTTTCATATTTCAAATTATTTGTCATTTTACCATTCCAATGAATAATTAATTGCATTTTTTCAATTTTGCCATTTCTCACTCATAATTAATTAAAATATAATTATTTAAAATCAATTAATGGCATGGGCATTTTAGTGATTTACTATACATTTTGCTATTATCTATGCATATTTATTGAGTTTCTTAATATGTGTGCAACTAACAAAAGTGACAACTATTGAGGGAATGAGGGAGTATAATTTTACAATTTTACCATTTATGAACTAAAAATCATGCTCCAACGGGAGAGCTATAATTTTGCTCACCACTTAAAATCTTAGATGGAGCTGGTATATATACCTGCTACTATTCACGCATGGTATATGATAAAATATTAAAATATTACATGACCCCACCATCCCACAGTAATAATTGAAGTCAAATAAATAAGTTATGGATCTATCGTGATAGTGAAAACCAAAATAAATACAGTGTATTTTGTATTTGTTATTTACATCAGATTTTATTTTTATTTTTATTTTTATATGGTTATTTAAACTTGAATTTTTTTATATTTATTATAAATTTGATTAAAACTATTTGTAGAATACATTTTTTTTACAATATTATATATATATATATATATATATATATATATATATATATATATATATATATATATATAGGTTTAATTATTTATTGAAGTTTATTTTAATTGTTTATTTTCTATTGACATTGTACATATCTATAAGAAAAAAAAATTACACATAATTATTATAATAGAATAGTTGAAAATTAATAAAATATAATAAAATGCTAAAATATAAATGATATGGTTGGAGAAGATAGTAAAAATTGAGTTGCTATTACACTGTTGATGGGCTATAATAGATATAGCATTCATGTTTTTAACTCTCCATTTATAAATATGCAATTGTAATTCTTTTTTTTAATGTTAAAATAATATATAAAAGAAGTAAAAACTCAAAAGTCAAAACACAACTTTATAAACATCTCCATACTATTTCTATTATATAATCATTATTTCATATTGTTCATTCTATATTTACTTATTGTACAAGTTTAATTAAAAAAAAAAAAACTCTTAATTTAAGTTAATATTTTTACTAACATAAGTTTTCCCAAAAATTTGGAATATCTTTTGAAAAAACTTTAAAAAATATCTTAATATTGTAAAAATAAAAAAATAAAAAATAAACAATAAATTGATGGCCGATAATACCAACCAACGACCCATTGTTTACTCGAAAAAAGTCGGTTGTCAACTATTACCCGATCCATAATGATTGAGTTGGTAATGATTTTCAATTTTCAGCAAAATCGGGTGGTCGAGTTGAGTAGATAATTGGTCGATAATTGTCCAACCCGACCCATGCCCGACCCTAGTGAACCCTCAGAGTAGAGGTGAGGACATTATAGTAATGCACAACTTCAATGCATTTAAATATATTAAACTGTAAAAAGTACCCTTGTGTGTAAGCTCAAACTAGCAGAAACCTCCCGTGATAAATAAATTAGCAAAAATTCCTCTGTGAAAATTAGTCAAATGCAATCCTCGCCTGACCGGCTCACTCGCCATTTATGTGGCTGTTATTGTCATTTTTTATGTGAAATAACACAATTGCCCCTATGAGACGATTCTCTCTACTCTCTTCTCTCTCCTCTCTCTTCATTTTATTCACATGAAACACGTGAAAATCAATCGGGCAAAAAACTGCAAATTGATACTACTCCGAATTCTTGCCGCTTCTCTTGTTCGATTGAGAAGGAAAATTCCTAAATTCCGGTTTTATGATTTGAAATTGCGAGAAGAGATCTTTGCGTAATCCAATCAAAGAAGAACAGGACCAAGAAATCCTATTTGGAGTGGTGATTAATGTGAGTAAAGTGGTGATAATCTAACGAATTGAAGCAAAAAACATGAAGTTGAAGAGAAATGAAGCAAAACGCGATGCTGCCATTTTTGCGGGTGTTTCTTTTATGATTCGGCGGTGATAGGGTTGAGGTTCGTATTGGTGATGGTAGTTGGCTGGATAGTGGCCGGAGTTTTGGGTTGCAACGGATGGCGGAGGTGGAGTCATGGTGGTGGAATTGGTGTTGCTGGCAGTTGGCGCGCGGTACGTGGTTGCTGGTGGTGGTGTGTGTGGTAGGTTGGGGAAATTGCAATCAAGTCCTTACCGAAATTTGACCTCTAAATTTGTATTTTATTCATTTTGGCATATATTTTATGTTGTTCTAATTTATATTTTTTTTATTGAAGGGTATATTTGTCAATTTATATTAGGTCACCTACTGAAATCACAATGGGTCAATTTTTTGTTAGGTATTGTACATATATTATTAATTTTAAATGCCAAAGAAAATATTTATATATTTTTTTTATTATGAAGCACTCAATATTTTTTTAATTAATTCGGACCGACTCATGTTATACTGTTGTTCCATGCGTGTAGACTTATGTTTATCCTGTGTGGAGGCGGTACACAATAGTAGGCCAAGGGTCCGAAGAGTTATTAATACTTAATGTCTCCAACCAAACGAGGTCTGGAAGTACTAATAGAAGCATAAAGTTTGGAGAAAAGAAAAAGATAAATGTTGTTTGAAGAAAATTAGAAATTAAACCAAACATTTCATCAAACAAAATAAGAAAAGATTCCAGAAGTTGATGCAGAAAGAACTAAACTCACCTGAAAAATCAGATTCTTCCTCACAAAAGCATTTGCCTGAGTCCAAAAACTCGACGGCCCGTTTGATGGATCCGCCGCCATGTTTGATTATATTGTTTTGTTTTTCTCCGAAATTATTCGAACTTCGTATTTTTAATTCTTGTTGGTTCAGTTTAGAGGATTTGTGTTTCTATTAAATATACACAGGCTGTAGAGTGTAGAGGATGATTCTTCCTCTAATTAACAATAAAATTAGATATGATCAAATTAGAAGGATGACAAAACTAGAGTACATTACGTGTCATTCTCTGAGCATATAGAAAATTTCATTAACAGAAAATATCAGCTAGCAAAGTCTATAGAGATGACTCTTTGTACAACATTTCAATTAATGAGAACTAATGGTTTCGTATCTCTCTCACAGTCATACTCTGATGATGCTAGAGATAGATCACCTTAGAGTGTTGAAATAGGATGAGCTGGAAGAGCAAAGTGGATCACTGGCTCACGAGCTTGATGACCTTGAGATACATGCGATCATATAACACGTGAACTAAGCCGGTGATTGATCCGGCGGAAATCCTTCCGACGCTCAAGTCAGACGTGCAGATAGTAGAAATAGTTAAGAGAATATGACTCGTCGTATTATTTAGATAATAGGGCGTACCTTTAATAAATGAATTATATCGTTATTTATACCTTAGATGAGATTGTTGGGCTCACACCTTATTTGAAGGTGATTGGGCATCGGTGATAGTAGTCTTCAATATTGGGCTCGTGGTCCAGTAGGTAAATAAATTGTAAGCCCATTTGGTTGGCACAATTAGGCATATCATTAAGCCCCCACTCTCGAGTCGATGTAGGGGTCATGTTGAAATGGGTGACAGATCGTGTCGAGAGTAAAAATTGTAATAGTCGCTCGTTGGCGTATGGCCTGATGGTGTGCGAAAACGCGTTGGAGCGTGTGTCGGAGGGGCGTGAAGGTGCGTTAGCGCGTAGCGCGACCAAGTTGTCGCGATGTAAGTTACTTGAGTCGTCGGTGTTGTTATCTCCTCGTGGAGTGTATA